GAGGGAGGATCAGGCCCTTTAACTTGGGCATTCTTCTCTCTGCAAGGCTTTAATAAATAGGATGCTTCTTTTGACCCTAAAGCTGGCCACTTCTAAAATATGAGCGGAGAGCAGTAACAGTTGTTGTGTATTTGGCTGTAAACCCCTTTTGGCAGATGCCGCCGGAGAAGTGGGCTGTTTGCTGACGCTTTTGCTGCAGAGTCCCACTTGTTGCCATGGTGGGCAGTATGTTTCTGTCAATAATTTGGCCTGGCGCGGTTCGCCCGCACTTACTCTGAAAACTCTATTGAATGATTCAGCTGAAACAGAACAAGATTAGACAGCTTGTGCTTTTTGGCGTGCTGGAGTGGCTTGCCTGCCCTGCGGAGAGTCGGCAGCCTTAGTTACTGTGAGAGGAGTTTCCCGCTCGGGAAGCTCCTGCAAGCCGCTTGCCTGCTCGTGTCCCTGCGCACGGGTGCTGTCAAGCTTCTCATCTGCCCGCTATCAAAAGCAGCTCAGCGGCGTGGAGCATGAAGTTAGTGAAATGTTTGGCTGTTGAATATACCTTCTTATTGCGAAAATAATCCTGTTTACTTAAATCCTGCTGGGGAAGCTTTTAAAAGGCAAACAAAAATGGTTTAACTTCTAACATCACACACTGGTAATTTCTTAATGGGGAGAGAGATGGTTGATGTAGATGTAGAAATACTGCTTTTTTATTTCGGTTTTTTTTTTTTTTTCCTTGAGGAACCAAAAAAAATAAAAGCTTATTAAAACAAAACACATTTTTCCTTTAGTTTCAAAGTTACTGAAAGCAGGTTTTGAATTTCATTCAGCAATTTGGAAAATGAGCTTGTTCCATAGCAGTCACTACCTTGATTCATGACACATGCATGTTTCAAGAAGGAAAGAATAAAAGTGGAGCCTGCAGACAGACGTCAGCTTCTTGTTGTATCCCAGGATGGCAGTTTTAATAAATATTATCTTTATATGGAAGAGTAAAAGAACTGAAATCCTATCTGATCCTCGGATTGATTATACAGCCCCACAAATCACTCCAGCTTGCTGCTTTCTGTGCTGTGGTAGCACAGGTTAGTTTGCTCTGCTCAAGGGTCTGTCAGGATTTCAAATGGAGTGTAATCCCCTATTTTTACAAGAGTTTATGTCTCATCAGTGAAAGTTCACTCTAGGTTGAAATTTAACATAAAAGACTGCAGCTAGAGAGAAACATGATGGAAAATACGACTTTGGGGTGTTTTATTTTCTTTAGTTTTCAGTTACACAAGCAGCTTTCTAAAAACCTCATAATTTTTCAAGTTTTAAACTCCCTTTTGCAGTTTGCTAACTAAAACCAGCTTTGGTGTAAAAAGTTGAAACCTTAAACCCTGCTAATCCAGAGCAGGGACCAGTGCCTGTGCATATTAATAAAAAGTAGAAAAGGGCAAAAGGTTTAAACTCTGCAGTGGTGCTGTCCATTTCCATTAACTCTTTCTCCTCAGACCCCAGCCTGGAAAAGCTGTGTATGGAGAATTATTGCTGGCTGTTAAAAGAATTCAGTCCCTGGAAGATGCTGATAAGTCAGCAGCCCCCAGTTGCTGTATTACTTGGAGATAGGAAAATAATTAAGCACTCAATAGGTTGCACTGCTGGGTTTTCTTGTTGTAGGTACTTGGGAGGAGAGGAGGCAGGGAGAAGCCTACTGAGCATTGCATTCAGAGCAATGGTGTAGCTAGTTTACGCGTATAATGGCCCAAATTCAGCTCCAGGTATCTAAGTACAGGGCCTGGTTCTAATCTAATTCATATGAAGGCAAATAGGTTGAGTTAGGCTCGTGTCAGGCTTGATGAAAGTGGTCTCCTGGTGAATTGCTGGCTGGCGCTTTCGGTGTGTGAATGAATGCACCAGGGCAAGGTACAAGTGAGAAGTTAGCCCTGACCTCCAATCTCTGACAACTCGAGTGCAATCTTGGCACCGTTGTCAATGATCCTTCCTCGCATGTGGGTTGTAGAGTAAGTGTACCTTAGCTTTATTTCCTAAGGGCGTTTTCATTTCCTTTCTAGTTAGCTATTTTTGTGCCTGGTGTTTAATAATGTGAAGTTCCTCGTGTACTTCTAGAACTGCTGAGCAACTTCTGAAGCTGAGCCTATGTACCACTACTACTTCAAGATGTATTGGTGTGCGCCCACATGTGAGGTGTGGTTGACTTGGACGGAGCTGTACCCAGAGCATGCCTGGTATCAGCCAAGGGTTACAGCCAGCAATCATGCTTTGTTTAGAGAAACGTCTCTGAATTTCAAAGCAATAATGCAGCTTAAGGAGAGCATCTGTGGTAGAGCTAACAAACCCCCTCTGGCATGTGTAAAACATACCCAGGAACATGCATCTGGCTTTTGAGGAACAGAACCACTTGGCCTAGTTTCTGAAGGGTACATGTGGTCCCCAGGGGTTAAAATTCCTGTGGGAATGGAGGGGTTGGTTCAGCTTCTGGTCCTGATGCTGTCTGCAAGGGAAGGCTGGTGGAGCTATCCTCAGGAGGCCCTTTTCCCCCTACAAGTGACACCATAGGCTTGCTCCAGATGGGCTTTGAGTCTGACCCTGCTAATTATTCCCCTGCCTTTTGCCTTTGTTCGTCTGAACAAGAATTTGTGGGTTGGTTTGTGTGGATACAGGGAGAAAGCGGGATGGGCAGCATGCTCCACCACCTGGCACACTGGTCCATGCGGTTACCCTGTTAGAGCGGGTGGCCTCACTTGGGCCTGTCTGATGCTGCTGGTGCTGTGTCTGAAGCAATTTTATTGTTGCCTACCTTCCTTCTGATCACTGCTGACCTTCCTGCAAGGCTCCAGCCTCTCACACGAGCAAACCTCCAGGCACGGGAGCTGGGCTGCAGAGCAGCGGTGGGTGGCTAGGTTTGATTTAGGCCCTGCTCTTGGGGTTCGTCTTCTCCTCTTTGTGACAAATTGTTTCTTGCCTCCCCATCAGGCAGCCCAAACTCCCAGTCTCCTTGTCCCAGAGGCAAGAAAACAGCAAGCCTGTGTCTGCCCTTGCACAATTGATAGCCCTGCCGGTAGGAGCATTGGCGCATGGGTGACGATGATCTACTGCCCAGCGGCCGCCCGCTCGGAGCGGGCAGCCTTCCCCAGAGCATCCCTCATAGCCGCACATGCACCTACTGTCACCAACTTGCACCGTGAGGAGGAGGGCGGGGGAAGAACTTTCCTTTATTCTGTTAGCTATAAATGGGCTAAAAGTGCATGTCTCTTTTTTCCCCCCTTCCCTTCTCTCTTTCTTCTCCCTCGTTTTTTTGCAGAGGATGAAAGTCCTGGGCAGACCTATCACAGAGAGAGAAGGAACGCGATCACAATGCAGCCGCAGGGTGGGCAAGGCCTCGGCAAGATCAGTGAAGAGCCTTCCACGTCGAGTGAGGAAAGGGCCTCATTAATCAAGAAAGAGATCCATGGATCTATATCGCACCTTCCCGAACCTTCTGTACCTTACCGCGGGACGCTGTTTACCATGGACCCCCGGAACGGTTACATGGACCCTCATTACCGTGAGTATCGAGCGCTGGTTCCTTTTGGGGATGCAAAGTTGGAAGGCTCTTAAGGCTGTCAAATGTAATGTGGTTTTTATGTGTCGCCTTGCATCGCCCCCAGGGAGGACTGCCTTGTCTGGGGGGGGGCTTGAGGTAAATACACTCTTCACTACGAAGTTAAAAACCAGGGTGCAGTATTGCAGCTTGAAATTACCACAGGCCTCTGCAAAGCAACTTCCACAGGACATCTCATCTGTTGCTAATCCTCCTTAGCCATCCAGGGTTGCATTTGCCTCACCTCCTTAATAGAAGAAGGGGGGGAAGACTCATTCAAGAAAGCACAGAAGGAAAATGAAACAGGCCTTAAAATCCCTCTTTTAAAATAATGTTCAAGTATGGTGTTCAGAGGAAGGACTGCGCCTTGTGCAGTGAGGAATTGCAGGGGGCTGGGAATTGGAGGGCTTGTTGCTGTGTTTTGGGAGGCTTTGTTTCAGAGGCTTTTTAGGGATTCATGTGTATTTGACTGTGTGGGCTGATGGAGTGGTTTTGCTGTTTTCTTCCCTGAAGTTGTAGGGCAGGAGAAAAAGGCAAATGTTTTCAACTTCTGAATTCCTGCTCAGGCATTAATAAAGAAGTAAGAAATTAACTGACACTTGAACACAGATGTGGAATGGATTTCTCCACAGGCAAAATATGAGGGAGTTAAGGCCTTTCTTTTTTTCTTTTTTTCTTTTTTTTTTTTCTTTTTCATCTGCTTCTAGTTTACAAAAAAAGAAAGGGGAGAAAAAAATCATTTGGTTGTGTAGTAATGAAGTACATCTTGAGGTGTCAAGGCTTGTGCCTTTTGATTATAGATTTATCACCCAGTCAGGATACAGATTTGCCATTTAACCTTCCAGTCTCCAGTTCCAGATGATAGGCTTAAGACCCACAGAGGGCCCAGTCTGTGTTGGGGTTCTTTTTTCTTTCCACATCATTCAGAAATTTGAGTGTTTTAAGGCAAAAGGTCATTAGCCAGATGACTGATTAGTGAGGACAGCTGATTAGTGCATGTTTTTTTGCTAAAGAAAGTGCCAGGGATAAAAGCTAATTTTATCCCTTCATTAGTTGGGCTAGCAGCAAAGGGGAATGTTCACTCATCAGGGTGCAGATCAAAGTATGTCTTGCACAACCTTAAGTCTCACCGACCTCCTTTAAGGGGAAAAAAAAAAAGCCTGATTGTTAATAAGGATGGAGGTATTATGAGAAAACGAACACTTGTTGTCTTTGTAGTTTAGATCAGTATTTAGGGGAGAAGTTTGCAGTTAAGCTTTTGAGCTCTCTTGTAGTGTAGGCAGTTGGTTTTTGTACACCCTCCTCCTGCTCAAACCCTTTGGGGGAGTTACTCATCTCTCTGCCGAGGAGGATGTGCTGCAGCACCCCAGCAGCAGACTCCTCTGCCAAAGAGGAGTGGATGTGCAGAGTTAAGGACTGCTCACGAGCAGCAGCATGTAGAAGTAAGAGCTTGTGGGTTGGAGACACCATTTGTAGCTTATGGTTTGTTAATGCAACCCCGAAATCTGACTTAAAATAAAATATACCTTATTAGGGAAGCAAAATAGCTTCTCTGTAGGCAGGACAGCTAGGGAGAGATGAAATGTGTGATAAATACAACTTCCCAAATAAGCAGCAAACCTTATGCTGAATTTAGTGGTAACGACTGCTGCTTTGACCGTCTGACCAGCTGCCAGCTCACCCCTTAAAAGTAGTTCAGAATGTTACTGATACTGCTGAAAATTCAGACTGAAGAAGGGCTGACCAGTCAGAATGAGTCTGAGTGATGTGCATCTAGGTTTTTTATCGAATTTGAGAGTTCTCAATTTAATGAAGCTACTATGTCTGTATAGTGACCAATAATACTAGCTGGTTGGGATATGTGGGCTCCTAGAAAAACATTGATGTCAGAAGTTGGGAGAACAGCAGAAGTTACAACAGCAGAGAAACAGGAGATGAGTTAATTTTAAATGAGCAACATGATCTTAAAGCAGAAGGTTAAGCCAGAAAACATCAGATGGGCAGAACTGCTTCACCACTGCTGTAGCGAGCTGGACACGGCTACTCACTGGTTGATAAAAATCCCTCAAGCTATTAACGTAACCTAAAGAGCCATCATGCTTTTAGTTACCTTTAATAGATGTGATACAGAAGGACAACTAAAGAGACAAATGTCTAGTTAGATTTATAGGAAAGCAGACAGGCTTACTGAAATTTTCATTGTGGTTGTATCATTTATATATGTAAGACATGCTTTCATCCAGGTGGTGCCCGTATTCAGGCTGACAGTTATAGCGGTCCATATGAAGAAGGCTGAATAATGCAAACACACCCCAGTCCCACTGTAGCAACAGGTGAAGAACCAGCAAGTCGGTTCTTCCCTTCCTTAGTTTCTTGCCAGTTTTGTTGGGCATATGGATAGAAAACACTGTTTTAATGCAACATAGTCAGATATGTAAACACTCACAGTAATTTCTTAGTTTCTCTGTGGTTGGAAAATATAGACTTTTCAAGATGCCTAATTTGTGCTTCTATTTATACCCACTTCATATTTAAAAGTGTGGGCAGGCTTCCTGTAAGACAGGAAAAGGGAAAATAATTTTTTTTTGAAGAAAGACATCTGTATATTTTTATGGCAAGAAAAGAAAAAGAACATTTAAGTCAATTGTGTGTGGAAGGCATGTCCCCTCCAGGAGCTGCACTTATTAAGAACAACTCGAATGCTTTGCATTTCTACATGTAAATACGTGTGCCTCTCTGTGCATTGCAGGATTTTTTTTTGTTCTCATTTTTTTTCCTAATTAAAATGACTGCTGTTAAAGTTGGAAATAATAGTTCCCATATATGTGGAATAAATACCTCACTGAGGGGGAGTTTGCTCTCCTGCAGAGTGCGGGTGGGGATAATGGTTGTGTTTCAAGTGGACCAGCTTCTCAGACAGCTGGGATGGAACATGCCACGGAGCTGGCAGCCCTTCTGCACTGCCGGAGAGCCCCTCAACCGTTCAGCAGCAGAGGAAAAGACCGTGGCCTCATGCTCAGCTCACGGCCCTCTATCCTCCGAGGGGTAAGAGGGAAAACATACAGGTCTGAACCAGAAAGTTTTGTTTTCTTTCTCGTTACATATTTCTTAAGCACCAGTTAAACACTGCTCACACAGTGAAGGAGGTCGTGGGTTTGGGGTGGTTTTAGACTTTTTATAAACTTTTTTTCTGTTTAAAAGCTTTAGGGCAAATGACAAAAATGCTGGTGTTCCCCTTCGTGTGTTGCACCTTTTCTTTATTGAAGAGAGCTTAATCCCAGAGTTTCTGAAGTAGATGTAAACCCATGTGTTTCCCAAACACTGATTGCAGTGGTAGTGGGAGCCCCTTGTTAGTGTAGATTCTGTCTCTAGAGGTGGGGCTGGGGCAGGGGAGGTGGGAATAGCAACTTCTCTTTGTTATGCTCTTTCCCAGTTTTAATTCTCATGCAGATTTATGGCAGTGCTGAGGCTGCCTGTCTCGCAAGTCATTCCTCATGGAGAAAATGAATCATTCCTGATGTAAACACTTTGATTTAAAACATACTGCTGGTATTCTTCCCCGGGTTTCCCAGCTCATCTGAAAGAATTGTTAGTACCTAATTAGTAAAGCCTGAAGAATTATCTTAAGTAAAAAGCAGTGACATTTCAGTTGGCTCTGATCTAACAATCTGTATATACAGGAATGGCCCTGGCAGGATTCTCTTTCTGGGACATCACTTCATCTCGGAGAGGTTGAACTGAATGTAGCTGAAAGCAGGAACTCCTTTTTTTTCCTCTTTTTTTTTTTTTTTTTTTTTTTTTTTTTACCTCCTTACCACAGCTGCTGGTATTCTTCTGGCTTTGAAGCTTCTGTGTCTTGGGAAGTGGGAACTGCTTATTGCACGTTTCATAGGATTAACCCTCCTAAGGTATTGATTGCCCTCGGTTCCCACTGACTTTCCCTGGACTTGTGCTTTTTAAGGATCGAGCCCCACATAACTGCCTGGGTTAGATTACCCAGTGTTAGCGTCATCTCAAAATCAATTTGCAACATGAGCAAAAGACCACAGCAAGGAAATTCCAGTGCTGGTTCACGAGGTGCACTTGTTCATTTACTGAGTTTTAATTTCTACTGACAAGAGTTCCCTTTCTTTCATCTCCCCATAGAAGAGCAAAAAGGCGGGGGGGAGGGAAGGGAATGAGATTCTGTTTCTGCAAATGTGAACAGGTAACTGGAAACACTGTCTTAAAATGCAGTACTTGGAAGGCAGTGGGGCTTGAACCACAAAAGCCAGGTATGTGCAGCACATTGGACAATGAGAGCAGTCCAGCTCACCACCACCAGCTGAGCTCACAGATGTGGGTCCCCATTTGCTTTGTAGAGGGGGGAGCTGGTGGCCTCCCTTGTCTCCCTGGTACATTTTGGAACTCCAGAGGTACAATTGGAGTGTCCCGAAGTGGGCATTTAACTTGCCTCTAGCTTCCCAGCATCACCAGGCAGCATGAACCTGGGACAGCTTTTAGCAGAGGGTTTCCCTCCAGCCTTGTTGGAGAGTGGTAGGAGTGTGTCAGTGAGGAATCTGTGTAGAGATTTAGGGCTGGGGTCTTTGGAGACATTTAGGGGCTTTTCAGTTTCAAAGTGAGCTTGGCCTCTTAATACCTCTGAAAATCTGGGTCCTACTTCTTAGCTCTTTCTGCAGCATTTTGCAGGGGAGGGGCTTAAGTGCTCTAGTAACAAAACTCTCCACTGACAGTGATTTATGGGGTGGGTTCCAAATGTTGTCACGGAGGGATAGTTGAAAATAGGGAAGTCTAAAGCTTTTAATAAAGCTCACAGGAAAAACAAAAAGCCTCTAGTATAAAAGCGAATGTCAGATTACTGGTGTCGGCTGAGCAACTGAAATGGTGGTCTTGAAGAAAATCAGCATGTTTGCATAGAAGATTTTGGGATAAAAATCCAAAATGTAATAGTATCTTTCAGTAGC